TGTGATTATTTGCTACGTGAAGATAGGGGATGCCTACTATGCACTAAAAATGCTTCCCCTTTTCCCTCCCAGAACTCCTTTCCAAACCCGTCTTCCACCAAACACCGCGCAATTCTCGTTTGCAATTTGGAAAAAGTAGGAAAATCAGCTAGCTTTCGGAAGATGAACATGGAGAAATGAATATGCTTCACAGCCCCTTTCAACCAGCCCTTTTGAAGCTGCGCACCCCGTAGAGAGCTCGGAGACTAAACCCATCGGATGAAGTAATGAGTAGGTATGGACAAGAGTCGTTCGGCAGGTGTCAATTGAGGAATGTTTGTAGATCGTTTCGCCTTCAGGCAAAAGTGCAAAGCTTCAACATGCAAACATAGTTCAAGAGGACCAGAGGCCTAGTGTCACGACACCACCAAGAAGCGAGTGAGGATCAAGCCTACGCCAGACGCAGGTAGGTAGGTTGGAGGTTAGTGGGCGATGGTGAATCCCCATATCACACACACAAGCGAACGCACACAACTGCTTCCTTGAGCAGGCTTTCCGTTTCGTGGCGAGCGCCGCTTGTGAGTACCTGTCAGGTCACTCAGCAACCCTGGGCATCCAAAGGACGAGATTCAAATGACGGAGTACGCGTCTGTCAACAGCCTGGTGTCCATGTGAGGAACCTAGCGAAAACGCCGAAAAATGCACCGGGAGAAGTCGGTAGAGTAAGTATACGGTCATCAGTGACAGAGAAAAGAAAAGAAAAGAAAACGCCATGCGCTTCGGCGAGAGGAGAAATGGAGACGATGGTACGATGTTGGAATTGTGACAAGGCGCCGGGCGCTGCCAAGGTCGTGCTTTTGTTTTCAAATCAAGCGAAGTAGCATCAGTCAAATCAGGCATCTCGAATGGTGCTTCGGCTTCCACTGGAAGGTGGAGGAGAAACTCGATCAGGGTTACCCAATAATGAGAGAGCACAAGATCGTCATCATGAGACATCACTAAGATCCAGGGGCGGGCGCTCCAGCAGGAGCTCCCTGACCGCCTTGTTGTTGCTGCTGGTACATTAGAGACTGGTACCAGAGTGCCACATAGTTCTGGTATCCACCATCTGCCAAAGTGTTAGTATACCAAACGGTGCAAGAAAGATTTCACGTCAAAGTCTCACATTGGGCGTAGGGGTCAGCGCTATCGCCGGAGGGGGCTTGGGATGGTGGTGGGTTAGTAGAATGGCTGGGAGCTTGTCGAGAAGAGTTGTCCCTTCGGTCATGGTCCTGGCGAGGCCCACGGCCGCCGCCGGAGCTTGATTTCTGCTTCTAATAGGGTCGTTAGCTGGACATGGACGATAACTGTAACCAAGATCTTCGGTGAGACTTACCACTGCCTCAACCTTCTCGTCAATGGCCTGCTTGGCACGCGCAATACTATCGCGGGTACCGATAAGGGCAATCTCCCTCTGAACCTCGTCCGGACCAGACGACTGAGCCACGTTGATTTTACAACCAGTCGCGCTCTGCATCTCCCGAATCGTTTCACCTCCTTTACCTATAATCATGCCCACGGCCTCGGACGGCACGTAGATGGCATCGTTAATCTTGTCAGGTCCATTAGTAGCACCCATCCCCGGTGCATCTCGGCGAGGTGTATCGTTGCGGCTCCCGGGTGCCGGCTTTATGCTTGGTGGTGCTTCTCCTCGGCTATCACTGTCGACAATCTCCAGGATGAAATCCTTGGCCTTGGCGGCGGCCTCGCGAGTTCCGATAAGGTTGACAGGCCTCAAGCCGTTGACGCTCTTCGATTCCCCGACAATGTTAATGTGGCATCCAGATCGCTCTTGGAGATCACGGATAGTTTCGCCTCCTCGGCCAATGATGAGGCCAACTGTACGATCCGGTACCATGATCTGCATGTGGTCTTCGCCGTCACGGAGGGCGGCCGCGCCGCCCTTACTCGGATCGCGGGGCTTCTCGTGGGCGCGGTTGAGGGGTCCCATGCCGCTATCCTCGATGATGCGGTTGATAGCTGTCTTGACTTCGGCTCGAGAATGTCTCGGGCCGGTGATTTTGCACTGCCGGAAGGGCCCATTGTCGCTTGCCGGAAGGAACTGGACACGGCAGTTGGTGTCACCCTCGATACGCCTCAGGTTCTCTCCTTGGCGGCCGATAATCAAGCCAACCAGACTGGATTCGATCTGAATTGTTTCCGACTGGTCATCCCCACCACGGATAGGTGATCGTTCACGACCGCTACCTCGGGGTGAAAAGGGACGACCGCCCCTGGGCCCAGGAGAGTAAGAACGTTCGCGGGCGTATTCTCGGCCATGTCCTCCTCGGCGATCGTCTCGGTACATATTGTCGCCATGGTCACCTCGATGAGGGGATCGTGATCTTGACCTGCCATAGGGTCGTTCTGTATTCCTAGCATCGGCATTGTAGACTATCGGACGGTCGTACGGGGTAGCGCCCTTCTCTGCGGCAGAGGCTCGAATCTTGGACAGTGCATCGTTGAAGTTCATGGTGCCCGAATTTACAGGTCGAATGGCACTGAGATCTAGGTTTCCGCTCGAGGCTGGCGCCGGGAGACCAAGGCCAGGATGTCCATATCCAGGAGCACCGGGTGGCGGCGGCGGCGCTTGGTACAGGCCAGGCTGTGTCGATGAAGAGGGAGGAGGGTATGGGACATTGGCAACATTCGGAGGAGTCTGCGTCGGCGTCGCCCCAGCTGGGGGTCTTTGCTGGGCTGAGGCAAAGGATTGGTCAGTTGGCCATCAAAAAAATTCGGTCAGGCGGACCTGAACCATCAGGTCGTCACGAAACTCACCTAGGGCCGCGAGAATGCTCTGAATCTTGCTTGGATCCGCGTCCATGTTCACGTAATGGTATGAGAGAGGAAGGGCCACGTGCAAGGGTTGCTGATGTTTGGAGTCTGGCAAGGAGCGACGGCCGACAGTCGGTGAGGAGAGAAGGTCGCGCAAACTTCAGAGGGTCGGCAAATGCACAGGATCGTGGGCAGTAGAGGAGGAGGAATTAATCAAGGAGTAAATTAAGCGACCGTGGCAAGGTGAAGGAGGAAGAAGGGAAGAGGCCCGGCAACGCGATTCCTTGTTGGATGGGAGATGACAATAATGACACAATCTATGTACCAAAATTTCGCTGATTTTCGCTGATGGATGGCAGCAGCGCTCGACCGGCGCGATGGAAGGCAAGACCGTCAGTCTGCGGACCTCAGAGAACGAGTCGTGGAAATGCGCAAGTAAAACAACACAAGAGGAACGGTGCTCGCGAATGGTTATAAGCAGGTCTGGCCTTGAGTCCCTTTTTTTTTTCCTGCCTAGGTGTGCAGATTCCGTCGCACAAACAGCACTGGGGCGCCTTTGATGGATAATTTGCGTGAGGGAGAAGAAGAGGTCCCTGCTTTTTATTAGACCCGTTTCGTGGATCGTGGGATTGGATTGGATGGCGGCCGGTACGTACCTCACCACGCCTACCGACCCTACCCGCTGTAGCAGGTGCAACAGGACCCAATTGAACCAAGCAGCCTGCACTGAGGTGGCAGCACGCGCTGCACACCACCCACCACAGTGGACAGGAGCCTCCATGCTACCGTAACGCGGTGCTACAGCGTGGGCTCGGGTGGGTCCCTCGCCCGAAAAGCAGATGGCAGGCCAAAGAAGGCGACTTTTTTTTTTTCTTTCCTCCTGCATGTCATGGATATGATTTTTCCTGTTCAGGGAAGGCGGTCCCGCTGCCTTAAGCTGACTTAGCCTCACATCGACGCTCGAGACTGCCCGAAGGAGCCTCCGATTCTCCCGCCTCACGTTCATTTCAAACAAATTGAATCCACAAATAAATTGTCATCATGCTCTACCAGCCTCAAAAAGGGTATTGGCCAGCAATTCCCACTTGGCTAACTTGGTGGACTCGGCCACCGATGGCACTATTCACCCTAGCATGGCAGTTTCCATCTGTCATAGAAATCAACTACCGGGTCCCTGCGCAATTGCGAAAGAGACCCTGAGTTTCGGAACCTCGCCCGAAGGCATCATCAAGGCCATCCGCTGACACGATGGCGCGAGTCTTACCTCCACATGTCCCGTATGCCCGTCTCTCTCCCGGGCCTCCTTTGCCGTGTCCTTGTCATGTCTGTGAACTTGCCCCCAAACGGCATGTAACTCAGTCCAAAATAAGGTTCATCAATATGGATAAAAGGAAAGCCAATATGTTTACTCTCACCTCCCTACTAACAGTATGTGCACTGTCTATATACTAGCAACATACCACAAGCTCACAAACCTTCCAAGACAGCTCCTCAGATCTCGGACAGTCCGTCAAAAGCTGAAGTTTATATTGAATACTGGTCGGTTAACCGCCGAATGCCGGTTAACCACCAAGGCGTTCGGTGGAAGCAAATCTGCCAATCTCCCGTTTCCCCATCATGCAATACTACCTACAAGTGCATGGAAAGCCGTAGTGTCGACTATATATGTACACGTACCCATGCCGGTTCGTAGGCCCCGGGCACGCTCCTCGATTTGACGGGCTCGCCCGGCTTCTTTAGCTTCCAGAACCCGGTCCTACCAGACCCACGTCCCTTGATATTGGATCTGATAATGTACCAAGCAAGGCTGCCTTGCCCCTACAGCTAAGGAGGGCACAGAGGAGGGTCTACGTGACATTCTAAGCCTTCCGGTGTCGGCTGACTGACTGGGCACTTCGGGGCATTAAGTAAGAGAAATCAAAACTGGGAAGCATAAACGCCAATAAACTTCTATAGCAAGAAGCGCGGTTCCGCCCGCTCTTGAATCTCCCGTGCCCGGCCAAGCCTCCCTCAAGAAAAGTGAAGAATGCTGGGAAGGGGGTCGAGGGACAGGAACCATAACAGCTTGATGTGTTCCCCATTAGAACCAGGCCGAAACTGAATGGAGGGGTATAAAGGGTGTTTTCATTATTCAAGATTCATACAGCAGAGGGCAAATTCCCCCCTTTCGTTAATAGTAATACAAGTTGTCTCGAGACGTGCCAAGTTCAAAATATCGATCCAACGCCAATCATCCCAGCCCAGGATTGCCAGCCTTCAGTGTCCAGAATAGCAGGATCGGCCATCATCTCGCCGGCCGAATGAGCAGAGTCGGCCGTGAAATCAACCATGGGCTGGTGGAGCTGCACCGGAGCCTCCCACTGGTGCTGAACCGCCACCTCCTGAAGTATCTTGGACGTCGTGGGATCATACAACGGTCCCTCCTCGACGCCACAACGCGAGATGCCCGAGGAGCACTGCTGGCGGTAGAGGGCAGTCTTCGTGATCAAGTCATTCAGGGGCTTCCACAGAGGGTCTGCGGACGCCTCCTCCGGCAGACTATCAAACATGGCTTTGGTGGCGGCCCAGGCCCTCTCGGGCACCGCCCCCCACGGCTGGCGATACAGGTGACGGAGGATGATGCCCATCGTATGCCAGGGGACGTGGCCGTGAACATGCCACCTCCAGTCCTCGTACTCCCTCCGCGTTTTAAGCGTCAGCACTGATTCAACTACGCTGAGTGATGCTGCAAAGATTTGGCTCTGGAGAATGATGTCCGAGACCGTCCCGGCCTTCTCTCCCGCCAGTCTTCGGTCTCGAAGGCCCTCAAGTAAGATGACGACTTCGATCTTGGAAAATACCAGTGTGGCCAGCGTCCGAATATAAGTATCAAACGGGACATCAGGCCGCAATTTCTGGAGATACTGCGTTTCAATCCTAGTGCGGAAGGTATTGATAATATCGAGACGTAGTTGAAGCGGCTTGTCCGGCCCAGGTTCGAGCTTGCGCATCGCCCGCCAGATCTCGCATCGAATCAGGCACAAGGTCACCTCCCCTGATTTAAACTCCATAGGCAGCGGTGGCGGGTCCATCAGAAACAGATCCTTGCTGTCTATCGGCAGAGGCATCTTCGTGTCGAACAAGGCCTCCGTGACGAATAGATCAGGGGGGATGTCCGGGTCCCGCGAGCAAGAGTCGGTGAAGCAGATGTGCCACCACAATCTACGGCGCATCTCGGCCTCGAACAATGACATTCTCTCGTCGTGCGACCCGTCCTTGTGAAGCTTCATTGATATCGCGAGCCGGAGGACCAGCCCGGTAAGTGGCCAGGCCAGTTCAGCACAGCCAATGTGCGGGAGGATGGCGACGTAAATCACCAACGCTCTCAATACGGTGATATCCCTAGTCATCATATAGTTTGCACGCATGAGAGCTTGCTCGGCTGTCTTTTTGAATTCAGGGACCATCTCGGATTTCGGACGGCCAAAGTGGGCTTCCACCTGGTCAGAGTCCATCGACGCCATAGCCCCGAACGAGATAGCAGCAACCAGTGCCTGATTCGCCAAGCTGAGCGTATTCACCGGTGTCCGCTGGAGAGACTGGAATATAGTATTGACATCTGGGAGGTGAAGTATTTTTGTAAACGGGTCCACCTTGCGGATATAAGTGTCCCATATTAGTGGCATCTGAGAGGGTGATGGATATACGTCGTCCGCAGATGAGGATCCAGAGGCGAATCCCAACGAGGTTTGCGGACTAGAAGATGTTCGGCTTCCTGAGCCTCCATACAAAGCCCCCCCTTCATCGGCACCCTCCTCAACATCCTCAACAGCGCGAAAGATGTTGTCAACTTCGTCGCAAAAGACAGTCCAAAACCGACGGCCGATATGAAGCGCTCCGTCCTTGGCGACAACCAGTCGTCCGAAATCCTCGCCCAGGTCATCTTCCGGAATGGCCTGGAGGCCGTCCACCGGGTTCGGCCAGGCCTCGCCAGTCGACGGCGGCGTAGAGGCTGACGCCGACGCGGAGCTTGACCTGGGCGTCACTTGGAAAGAAAAGTTTTCCCCGAGCCCCTGCTCCCTGGCTCCCTCCTCGACTTGAGCAGACATCTCGGTCACGACGGCCTCTAGCCGCCTCAGCCTACTTATCAACTCATCCTGCCTCTGGGCGCGGTTGCCGTTGTCGTCCTTGGCGGGTCTGCGCCGGGGAAGCCGGCCGGTGACTGGGTAATGGCACTCAATCCCGTTCCGCATGCAATTCTTGCAAGTTGGGTCAACGCGGTCGCAGCGGACTTTGCGCCTGCGGCACGTAACGCAGGACCAGATACGGAGACCAGCTGCGTCTCGGGCCAGGAGGCCCTCTGGGCCCTCGGACTCCATCGTGTGAGGGGCGCCCTGATGATGTGATCCGGGATCAATCCAGGGCCGAGATTGGCGATATCCCGTGCTTCTTTGCTCGTCTTTATCTCTCAGACTGAGCAATTGGAAGGCGATAATGGGCCGGGAAAGGATTTAGTAATTCACATTGCTAGACGCTGTGGGTTACTTCGGACCTCGCTGTATGCTCGAGAGCCTGGACTCTGAACTCGGGAGTTGGAGGCTCGGTCTCGGACGTCGCCCTTGTAACCCCTTTCGGAAGATAGTGGGACGGACCGGTGTGATGGGGTGCCGTGGCCGGGCTGCATAGTATCGAGTTGTTCACATCCGTGAGTTGGCTACGTTGATATAAGTTCGGCCGAAGAGCACTGCTCGTTCGATGGGTAAATGCCAGGCCATCCCCTCGTCTTCGCTGGCTTTACATCCAAAGCCACTGAGAGCGACCATCATGGCCGAAACGACCGAACCCGACCTCGAATCCTATTTAAATGGCATTCCGCAGGACCATGGCGTGCCACAAAACCTACATCATCGAACAATCTAAATTCTAACGTCTGTCTCATTAAAAACCGATATCAATGTCTAAAACAGTCGTCATCTTGGGGGCCGGTTGGGCTGGCCTTCCGCTCGCCCACAAGCTTCTCAAGTACACCGTTCCCAAGCTGTCTCAGTTGAAGGTCATCCTGGTCACGCCAAATTCCCATTTCTTCTGGAATGTTGCCGCTACGAGAGGAATGATCCCTGGGGAAATTAGTAATGAGGAGCTTTTTCTTCCTATTGCGCCCGCTTTCGCGAGCTACAGTCCGGAAAACTTCGAGCTGGTGCTTGGTAAAGCGGAGGGGCTTGATATTGAAGGCAGCAAAGTGGCTGTTCGCATGACTAAAGATGGTAGCCATAGAGATATCGCCTACGACGAGGTAGTCGTCGCCTCCGGATCCAGCATGCGAGGTGGAATACCACTTAAACACGTGGGAGCACAAGATCAGATGGCCGCCAGCTGGAAGGACCTCCAGGACAAGGTCGCCAATGCAAAATCCATTCTCATCTCGGGAGGTGGCCCAACTAGTGTGGAGGTTGCTGGGGAGCTTGCTGCTCGCTATAAGGATAAAGACATCACGCTGGTATTGAGCGGCAGCAAACCGGTGACAAGCGCAATCACATCAGTCCAGGACATTGTGGACAAGGACTTACAAAAGCTGGGGGTAAAGCTCATCCGAAACGCCCGTGTCGCCAACACAACAACCTCGAGCGATGGAAAGCAGACAGAAGTGTCGCTCTCCAATAACCAGACGATTTCTGTCGATCTTTACCTACCTCTGCATGGTTCTGTCCCCAACACATCGTTCCTGCCGCACTCCCTTCTAGATGAATCTGGCAATCTAAAACTTGATTCATACATGCGCGCCTCGGGAACCAAAACGGTGTGGGGAATTGGCGACGTTGGCGATCTGGAACCGAAGCAGCTCACGGTAACGGACAACCAAATCGTGTATCTGGCCGGGGCGCTGGATGCGGCGCTGACGGGATCTGGCAAGGTGGCTGAGTACAAAAAGATGGATAAGACAATGATCTTCGTCTCATTGGGACGGCGATTCGCAAGCGGACAGATTGGAGGGTGGAGACTGTTCGGATGGATGGTCAATCTAGTCAAGGGGAGGAAGCTCTTTGTTGACACGGCGAGAGGGTATGTGGACGGCAAGCACCTGAGACACGCGGCGATGTAGGTGGTGGGCCTTGTAGCACTACCTCGGGCCCTTGTAGGAAGCCGCCGTCAGGGGATTTAGCTCACGCAGGTGGCACGGTTGGCACCGGAAGGTGGGGTGGCAGCACATGCTGCCCTATAATACGAGCAGCCCTGGCCCTGGAGCCCTGGAGAAGGGTACCTGCGCCGCAGCTGATGTCAGGTGGGCATTGCATGGCATGATGCAGCGAGGCAGGTTGGACAATGCCTCCATGTCTTCACTGGCAAGGAGCATTAATTAGTGGCCTCTGTGGAAAAGAAGCATTAATCTAGACCTATAATCTATAATGGGAGCAGATGGCATACTATTGCCGCCAGATCCAGTAGCTGCACGCTGCTTCCACAAACAACAGGCAGCAAGTTACCACCAGTTGGGTGGGCATGCCAGAGCCAGGTACTTAACGCCATACACACATGCCTGCCACGACGCGCGTGTTCGTATTCATGCCCAGAGACCATCTGCAGCCCTTTGCCTCATGGTACATATTTTTGTAGAGAGACTGACACGAACGGGTTGGTCGGATCGCTCGTCTAGCCCGAGTTGAGCTGCGGGATGGGAATTATTGGACTATTAAATATTACGCGGCCACCTGCCCAATCAATCCCTTCCTAACTGGAGTAGACCTGCACTGCCATCATTGATCCGTAACCTCCGATCCCGACGGACAGACAATAATCGTACGGCTAGAACGTCTTGCTTTCGCCCTTGACTTTTTTCCTTAGCCATCGCCTTTGTTTGCCCTCGCCGCCTCGCGGGACTTCCACCCTATGCCATGATTCACAACCTTATGCCTCTCGTATAAGCGCATTCGCTAGACTTCAGAACCAACGCTTCCGTCCAACTCGTACCTACCAGCCAGCATTCGTACGCATACAGACACTCAGCCACTCTTTCGCTCGTTGGTTGCGACAATCGTTTCGACCCCAGATACAAAATACATACCAGCCCCCAACTACTCAACTTGCGCCGTCCCATTCAATCGAGCCTCAATGTGCACTCACACGGTCCTCGAATACAAATGCAAGCACCGCGTCCCTAGGGGCAGCACGAGATGCTATCGCGATGATTGCCCTGGGAAGAGGGAGGAGGTGATCACCCGCGTCGACAATTGCCCACAATGCGAGCTCCACGTCGCGGTACGCTCTGCAAGATGGTAGGTTCGACTGGATTGAATGATGGATTTACCTTTTGGCCACCACACAAAGGGAGTAGCTAACGTCGGGTCGATTGACTAGGTGCCCCATGGGCTGCTGCTCTTGCTGCCGCGGACGCTGTACAGTAATGTAAAACCATCAGACCGTGGTGGGCTGGTTCTGTCACGAAAGGCGAGAGGCAGGGGCTGGCCAAAGCTTTGGCCCAACAAGGCCTAGCTAGGATCACTCTGGGGTAACATACGAGGGTTGCATCGCGCTTAAGGGTGTCAACTCGATCCCCAGTCGTGGGCAGTGAGCATCGGTTCGGTTTGGGTGGAGGAATATCAATTGAGAGGCTAGGGAGCCTCTTTGGCAGCGTGAACGAGGCATCAAACGACGAACTGCCTGCCCGCTTATCTACCCAGCCACGACTACAGCTCACCTATCCCTCTCATTGAAGCGATCGACGTGCAACTATTTTATCCATGGACAGCCTGGGCTTTGTCTGCCAACGGGGGCAAATGATTGAAAGAAAGAAAAAATGACAATGAAACTGCAACAATCTTGGGTTTTTGGGTAGGCGAATATGGGCGGGCTTTGATTTTAGAGGGAAAGGCAAATGGGAATTCTTTGATTTTTTTTCTACTTCTTGTGCCACATTCTCCTAACCTACCTACTGAGTGAAGTTGTACGAACGAGAGCATGCATATCCAAAACGCTATCAACGGAATCCGGGCCTAAGAAAAAGGTGTCGTAAAGTCCTGTCGACCGTAGGGGAGCGTATGTGCAAATCCAAGGTCATATTCTCATTTATCTGTGATGTTCCCCTTACAACTAACTACCCATTTCAATGTCATGATGCCATTCACTTCTATCTCAGCTCAAGACTCACTGTCCCTTGTTTGTACTAGGTAGTTGAAAGGCCAGGCAATTCAGCATCGTAACAAGTCTTCCATGTTTTCACAGAGCAGAATATGAACTATACGCCTGGTCAAACTCCATACAACCCGTGCACTTTCCTCAACAGCTCTTGCATTGATGTATTCCGAGACTACTGCTACCTACTGATACACTGCAGCAATCACATCTTTGCGGAATCAAACTTTGATACGGCGCTGTGCCCGTGTTCTCGACCACCTACTCAAGGACCTTTGCGAGCTTAAATTGAACCACAAATCCTTCCCATGACGGTAGAATCTATGGCCACCATAGAGAAAACAAGTTCGACCGCGTCCATTCTGAATTGCGCAAATTCACTTCGTGCTCGAGAGCCGTGACTCGATACTCCGGCTTTGTGATAGAGAGCGCAGTGTGCGCATTATCCTATGAACACCAGTAGTGGGAGCTTCATCTAGGTACCTGGACCGCGGGTTGAGCTGTCGACTCTTTAATCATAAGGCGCGAGAGCCTTCCATGCCAATAGATCATCCAGGCCCGCAGTATCTCTCCACAACCTCACTGCTGCGCCCATATACAGCTCTGCTGTTAGCATCCCATCAAGCTCGTCCCAGATTGGCTTTGATTCTCTCTACCAGATCATTTGGCTTCCCTTCCTGGTTAGCAACAGCACCGGCCTAGTGACTTAAGACTCTGATTTCCTCGTGAGCTTGTTATATCGAGATACACTTAGCACATTATTTCATGATGAGCTCTATCAGCATGAGAAGGAGCTTGGGATGAAGTACTCGGCGTGTTGTAGCGATACTTGGTAGGAGGCGAAACTATCCCCAGTCTCTTGTAAGAAACTAAATTAGCTTCCCTTAAGTAACATAGTAGCCTATATGTTAAAGAAAATTTATTCCATTTAATGTATAATGCGTATCCTGAACCGTATATTGTTACCATTATCCGAAATACCATTATCCGAAGTGTTGGCATGGGGTTGGGGCATTAGATGCTCGTGGCTGTCAGCACTGGAGCACATACTGAGAGCCCCGAACCAATGGACCTTCCATGTTCCAGACCCCCAATCACTTAGCGTGCCTTCCCCGCCAAATAGTACCTGGCGAAGGCAGAGCTACCGAACCACCAGCGGTCATACAGGGATGCAGGTGCCTGCAAGCTACTGGGGTCAGAGGGCCTCCATTGGAGGTTCAGGTCAAGGATGACGATGGATGGATCCCAACGTTACCTCCATCCTTTTCCACCAGCCAGTGCACAATCTCTCTCCACTTTCCCATCCACCCACCCAACAGCCCATCGTACATACGGCGCACATACATCAATTGCAGACATCCATACCTACCTACACATCTAGCTTCCTGATCGTCCTGCGCCAACCCTCTCCCCCGCCTGCACTCACCTGTTGTGGGATATCACAGGCGCCCGTTCCGCCATGGCGAAGAAAGCTCGTCAACGAATTAGCTATGGTGAGACAGACTCCTACAAGCCAATTGCCTGCCTGCCTGCCTACTGCCTGGCGATTATCCCGCTGATGCAGTATCTCGCGTGGCCCAGAGCATGCCCCGCATGGGACACGAGCTCCGGCTTTCCCTCGTTACATGCAAGCATCCAGCATGCCCAGGAGGGGGCTTCATGCATATTGTAACACCAGCAGTCTATTTACTAACATGCATGGGAAGTTCTCGAGAGCGCCAAGAGCTCGGCGGGCGGCCACCGTCTGGGCGTCAATGGCCTCGCGGTCGATCGCGACAACAACATCCTGTGAGCCCTCGGCACCACACCCAGCTCAAGCCATACCCGATATACGCTAACCGGTCACTTTAACTATGTAGCTTCTCTGGTGGTCGAGACGGCATAGTGTGCGCTTGGGACCTCAACCTCGATCTCAACAATCCCCCGAGTAAATCGACCGACGATGCCGATGCGAACAAGGAAAAGACCTCCTCCAAGCTCCGAGCGCAAACCCAGGCGCACATGGGCTGGATCAACGACATTGCCTGGGCCCAGAACAACTCGGCCTTGGTAACGGCGTCATCCGATCTTACTGTCAAAGTCTGGAGACCACATTCGGCTGAGACCACCGAAGCGCAACCCATAGGCGCGCATGCCGACTATGTCATGCGCCTTGCTACCCCTCCAGCCGACATGAATGCCAATTGGGTAGCATCCGGCGGCCTTGATCGCAAAATATGTCTCTGGGACTTGAACGGCAAGGGTCAAACGCTCGAGATTGATGTACAAGGAGAGGAGATTGCAGCCAAGGGTTCTGTATACTCTTTGAGTGTCGGCCGTAACATCATTGCGTGCGGTGGCCCCGAGAAAACCGTGCGCTTATATGACCCAAGATCGGGTGAGAAGGTCTCCAAGCTCGTGGGCCACCTTGACAATATCCGTGCCATTCTGATTGACGACGCCGGCGACACGATTCTGAGTGCCAGCTCTGACAAGACGATCAAGCTGTGGAGTGTGAAGAATGGCCGTTGCATTTACACATACACAATGCATGAGGATAGTGTTTGGTCCTTGTATTCTGACGATCCGCGCCTCGGTGTTTTCTACAGCGCTGATCGCTCAGGTCTTGTAGCCAAGACCGATGTGCGAGGTAGCTGGGACGATATGGATGATGGGCTGAGTCTTGCGCTTATCCAGGAGCATTCATCGGTTTTCAAGGTTGTTGCCGCTGGTGGACACATTTGGACAGGCACCGAACACTCATCTATACACCGATGGGCCGATTTTGATACAAGCGACAAGACACAGTTCTCGGATGCCTTCAAACGTGAACGCGCTACCTCGGCTGCGTCCAAGAGACCACGAGAGTCCTCTATTTCCTCTGCCGCTGAACCAAGTCCCAAGACGGAGACAGCACCATCTCAGTCCATTCTCAGGATTTCAAACACAGCCTCGTTCCCCATGCGGCCAGCAGTTGGCGTTGATTCAAACGTCAATGGTGAGAATATTACAAGGAAAATGTCCGAGATCGTCATTGAACAGCCAGATTTTGAGGCGAAGCCAATTCATTCTGTGCCTGTCGAAACAATCGAAGGTCAATTTGGTCTGCTTAAGCACAAGCTACTAAACGACAGAAGGAGAGTCCTTACTCTAGATACCGCAGGCGAGGTCATGATGTGGGATCTAATAAAGGTGAGTCGGTGTTATATCCATGCTAGAGAACGTTCTTTAACAATGTTTCACAGTGTGTACCGATTCAGAGCTTTGGGAAGCAGCCCCTCGATGATGTGGAAAGAGTTGTCAATACTCGTGAGGCTGTAGCGCCCTGGTGCTCCGTCGATTCAAGTTCTGGAAACCTTTCGGTAGTCCTTGAGCCATACAATTGCTTTGACGCTGAGGTATATGCCGATGAGCTAGAGCTCGAAGAACCCGTCGAGTTCAGAGAAGACCAAAGAAGTAGGATCCGCACCACTGTCGCCTCTTTCCCGACCTGAAGCATACTAACCATCCTTGCAGTCAGTCTCGGGAAATGGATCCTTCGCTACCTATTCGCCAATCTCATTGATGCTGAAATCATACAAGACGAAGAGTATCGGCGGGCGCTGAATGAGGGTAATGAGAATAAACGCGCAGCTGCTCGAGCAAACGCACCAACCTCAATTGAAATCCCCCGGCCCAATCTACAGCTCGATACTTCTGACAAGGTATCGACTCCCCGAGCCACGGGAGCGCACCTTGTACCGACTACGCCAGGACTTGCAATTGGCCTTGCTACCCCTGCTCCGCTCACAAGCCTTCCAAACGTTCCAGAGGGTGTAGTCTCAACTCCCTTGAGCCCATTGGAAAAGCGCCAATCCCACGCAAGCCGCCAGTCTACTGACAATGACTATTTCACAAGCACGATTGGGCCTGCAGATGGAGGGGCAAAGCCCGCTGTTGGTACACCAGCTGCCACGCCTGCCACGGAGACACCCGATCCTAAGACTCCTGCAGAGGGTCCGAAAGGGAAGGATAAAGCTGTGGAGAACGGCAAAAGCACTCCGTTTGGTAAGTTCCGGATGTTTGGGTCGAAGAAGCTCAACAGATCAGCTTCGCAATCGGCGCCGGAGAAACCTGCAATCGTGGATGAGAAGGCCGAAGAGTCAGAGTCTTCATCAAACCACGAAAAGGAAGTGGATGACAGCTTCTATGGCGTCATCCAGAAGATACGTAATGACTACGACAGACAAACGATCGAGCAGCCAGACAAGCCAGTCGAAACGGGCGTAACCCCCAGCCTACCAAGCGACACTCCTGTACTCAAGCTGCCTCCCAACACCAAAGTCATCATCCAGGAGGAAACTTCTGGCGGAAGTGCCAATATATATCAAGGCACAGTCGAAACTGTTGGGAATGATGCGGAGACTATTGAGCAGAAAGCTCCCATGTGGCTTGGACATTTACTTTTGCAAAACCAGGTCCCATACAAGGATCCTGTGAAAGTCTCATTTGTGCTACATCCTCTGGGAGACCTACCTGCAATTGCAACTGCGGATGGCAACAATAGACTAAATGCAAACAGGATGCTGAGAGTCAAGAAGATTCTGGCATATGTGGCTGAGCGGATTGAGAAACTTCCAGAGGAGCCGGAGCCGGATGCCCTCAAACCTGAGGAATATCTGGAACTGTACTGTAACGACCAAGTAAGATCCTCCTCCCTCCCTCCCTCCAAGGTGCGAATGAGACAACAGCGTGTCGCTAACCCTCTAAACTATAGATGCTTGACCCGTTGATGAGCCTGGCTACTTTGCGAACACACGTATGGAAAGGCGGCAATGACATTGCGCTACACTATAAAGCAAACGGCCGCAAGGAGATTCAGATTGCGCCTCCGCAACCGGAAGAGCCAGCTGAGGGAACTGAAGCAGCGGCACCGGATGCACCAGCAGGTACCGAGGACGATGATACAACCCCCAACCAACCGGCAGCCTGAGGCTGAATACCGGTCGTCGGTATCTATTTTATGAGATTGGGATAGCCCACCTTCTCCTTTCGTGGCGTTTCTTGTCAATAATATACATATGAACTGTAGCAGCCTCTATCTAGCTGGCTGTATATAGCGTGGTTGTCTGTCTAAGTTTATATATTACACCTGATAAATAGTAGTAGCAGCAAGCGGAATGAATAAAAGGGTTGATTAGTACAGGGGACCGTAAGGCCATAACGGGTCGTTCCTCAACTGCTTTAGCGAAGCATGTCGTATCCTTGCCGGGAGTCTGTGCCTTCGCACACATCATGGTGCTCTCATAAGACGGTCGTCATGGTGTTGATGATCCATTGATAACTTCCCAGGAAGATGGCGCCACCGATCGAAATCCAGGTTACTCGGGGCACCACGCCCGCGAAGAACGGCCGCAACCCCTCGTTCCGGGCAATCTGTGAGAAGACGTGGGAGACCGACACACGCTTCTCGGAGAGCATGACCCGCGTCTTGAGAACGTCCAGCGGCGTCGTCAGCGCCGCGGATATACCCCCCGCAATGCTCCCATACAGCGCGCTCTCCAACGCCGGGACGTCTGGGAGCCCAACACTCCCACCCTGCTGCGCCTGCGGGTGGCCGCCCTGCCGCCGCCTCCTCCCCCACGCCTTCATGGCCTCCCACAGCGGGAACTGGATCATGGTGAAGGGCACCTCGCGGAAGACGGTGATCCCCCACCCGCGGTACATCTCGCGCCAGACGGCGCCGGGCCCGCTGGAGTGGTACCGGCCCAGGATGGCGGCGAGGGCAGCGCGGCTCGAGCCGCCGTGCAGGCCGGCCTGGGCGCGCTGCTTGACGACCTCGGTCGGGACGCGGACGGCGCAGGCGGCGACCTCGCCCGCGCTGCCGGCGAGCATGTGCACGAGGGGGCTGTCGCGGTCGAGGGGCGAGCGGCGGGCGAGGAGGGACTTGGCGGACTCGTAGGTGCAGAAGAAGAAGGCGGCGCCCGGCGCGGAGCCCACGACGGCGGAGCCGATGCCGCGGTAGATGCCGGAGAAGCCGCCGGAGGGGAAGAAGCCGGCCGAGGACTGGAGGCGGGTCTTGAGGGTGTCGAGGGGGAAGAGGGAGAGGTCGACTGTCGTGCCTGCGAGGCCGCCCGCGAGGAGGGCGGTTTGGAAGGTGGGCTCTGTGGAGGAGGGCATGGCTGCGCGCGGGGGCGGCGGGGGGCAGCCTTCGCTTTCGATTGGGGGGGGTTTGTCGGGCCTGGCGTGTTAATTGAGCATGGAGATTGCAATTGAGTTATTCTTCGGAGATTTGGCACGGAGGAGAGATCGATCGAGCGGTTGCAGATGGGGGGGATTGGGCCAGAGGCCGCGATAGCTGGGAGCTCTAGTTGCACAGGTCGCGTGAGGGTATAATGAAATTTTGGGGCCGAGCTGTGGTTATGGGTTATCGATAAGCGGATGGTCTCCGAAGGTCGGACCCCGAGCTCTCTCGGAGCTCTGTATTATGTCCTACCCTATATATCGTCGAGTTGGCGCACAAACTTATTCATCTGACAACGTTTATATGTTTTTTGGTGGATTAAATGTGTATTTTTCGAGTTCATATAGCTTCCAGTGTTTGTGAGCATGAACTTCCGGCGATTACTTGTTGGTGTGGAGATATGAACTGTTTGATACATTCTAACTCAGGTAGAAGGCAAACACCACAACACTCAACATAGGATAACCACAGCCTAAATGACCAAACGAGCATTTATAGAAAATTACTAGGTACTTGAAATAAAAGTGTACAGGGCAGCAGGGGTTCAAACACGCCCCATCCCCAGAGGCCTGCTCTCACATACTATTCCCGCATGCTGGTCCCCGCCTTGGCCGTCTCCTCTGCAGCCCGCTTGGTCTGTTCCTGCAGCTTCGCAGTCTCGCCGGGGCTGGACGGCGTGTGATCGCGGTCCGCCCGGATGGCCTCCTCGCTGTCCGACGCCAGCTCCGGCTTCCAGTGGCCCTTGCCCTGCTTCTGCTTGGCGAGCGAGTCGGACTTGTGTTTGTCGTAGTCGGCGCCTGAAAAAAAAAACCAAGAGGTTAGCATCAATAGATTATACCATGCAGCCGCTTGCCAATGGATGGATGGCGGAGAACTGTCGGATTGAATTGGGAACTTACCGTTTCCTGTCTCCTTCAGACCGAGGTTGCTACTCGTCGTGAACGAAAAGTTTCGGCCCACGGCGATGGGTCCCATTACCGCGCTGCGGAGGGATTGGCTGGTGATGATTGCTCGGGCCGACATGGTGAATTATTGAGTTGTCGTATTCTTAGCCACGGGCGGTTGATGTTGACAGCAATGGGCCAAGGGTTAATTTAATCGGTATATAGGAGAAGAATATCGGTCCGAGGGTGGAAGAGGAGAATGAAGCTGTATGAAATAAGAGGCGGGTTGCTGCTTGAAGAGCCATGTATCGGTCCATGTCTTCTTGACGTCACCATTGGTCATCGCCCCAACAGCGATGGCGATGGCGATGGCTTCCTCATCAGTCAAGGACACTACCCAGTTTTACCTCGGCGAGATCCATTTATGAGAGGCCACATTGGCTATCCTAAGAGTGGGAAAGTCAACACAGCTCAATCGAGATCCCACAATGAGAAGGTTTGCCTAGCGAGGTCTCATCACAGAGCAACACATACTGGCTATTGCACCATATCACCTGTACATCGCAAACTGTCGAGGTACATGCAATGCGGAAGAGCTCATTCAAGTTAATGGGACAAAGAAGTGCTTGAACAAATCGTGTTATTCTCGTCTGGCAACCCTGGGTGTCCCCAGAGGCCAAATACAAGCGCCTAAAAACATCATACATGACCTATAATTCCGCTTCCTGCAACAATGTGCAAAAACACCAGGGCAACCAAAGGCCCGCGATATTTCCCAATGCAACCGTCCCACGTCTCCCAAGATCATGTGTCATTTCCCAAAAACCGCCCACTCCGTATGCTTGTAGCAGAGAATATCTTCCCCAGACGAGACAAACCAACCCCTCTCATAACTGCCCGAGGGGAATCCTGAAAAATGAAAAAATAAAAAAATAATACGCAAAGAGAATAATAAACGGAGGACAAATATGTGCTGGTGGTGGCCAATCATCCTTGGAACATGGTACAAAGCGAGGCGAGAGACTGGCTTCCACCAGCCGCCCACCTCAATTTGCCAAGGCGAAGGGCGCAAAACCTCTCAAAATTCGACCAACTCCAGATGATCCCAAATAAACCAGGCTCCAGCTCCCAAGTATGCGCAATCAAGACAACGCTCACCACTGCCCCAAGCTCTTTCCCAGAAATGACACAACAGGTTATCCGTTGACCAACCCAATAAAAAAAGCACTCCTTCTATGTTGTGTTCTTTTTCTCTCTCTGATGATTTCATGAAGCCATGATGCAAAATAAAGAGAAGATATTTTGGTAGTTTTTTTTCCCGGTAAGCAAACGTCGCCACTCATTTCCGTGATAATAATAAGTCATGGCTGGTATTCCGAATTTCCCCAGACCGCCCAGGTGACACCGACGCAAAAAAGCATCAATAACTTTATAAAAAAGTGCAAGAACCGTAATTAAAACGCCCAAAGGTGGTCGTCCAGCTTCGTCTTTGGAAGCGGGCACCAATTCCCAAAAGAATATGTTTTTTTTTGTAAAACGAGAACGAAAATGGTATCGATCTGTCTTGTGACGCGCCAGTTGTATCCTCGTATAAAAATCCTTTGTCGGTAAACAGGGGTATTGTCGAATTAGTTGTTGTACAGATAGGGTGTTTTCATAAAAATTGTGCAATGAGCCAACAGAAGGTCCACCTGCTTCAAGCAGATGGACCGAAGAAGATTAAAATTTAAAATAAATTTTCATGAGGAGTACCAGCCCGCCGAGAAGATCGTTGCCAGAATGCCAAGTTCAACCTTTAGGGGTTGGTGACCGCCAAGACGACAGCTGCAGACGGGTCATCTTACAGGGTCATGAATGCAGAGGTTGCATCGCTGACCGTGCAAGATCCGGAGAGCACACGACGGATTTACCATCGTCGGCCCATGGACTGCTGCATCTTGGCGGGAGACACCGATGAGGGAGGGCTCGACATGGTGATGCCGGTGGCCGGGTTGATGATGGGGATGGCATTGCGGCCGCGGGTGGCTGCAGGCTGGTGGAGCTTCAGGCTGGGCTGGCTGTAGGTGGGGGGAGGGACAAAGGGAGGGGAGGCTGAGTTCAGCGAGAAGCCAGGAGCAACACTCTGGGGTTGTTGCGTGGGAGAGGATTGAGGAGAGTTGCTCGCCAGCGAAGATCGCTCAGAGGCACTCGAGATGGAGACCAACTGAGGCGATGACCTGTTAGACGCCGACCTAGAGCTGCAGGGCGAACCGAAGGGACTACTCACGTCAACCTCGGTCAGGAGACCAGGGCAGAACTCCATATCGTCTTCGAGATCGAACGAGCGGCTGGTCTCGAACTTCATGCGGAAGGCTGAGAGAGCGGCGGAGTCGTTGAGCTCCTTCATGCTGCGAACACCTCGGAATTGCCTTTGCGTGTTCTGGGTCATGGACAGACGAGGAGCTCGACGATTGCGGCCTCCGTGGTTGTGAGTGGGAGCTCCGGGGTGCGCAGAGTGCGCATTGTGCATGCTATAGTACGACATGGTCTAATTGTGTGATGTGTATGCGCAATTAAACCAAAACACGGGAGTGCTTTGGCTGGTGTTGGAGTAGTTGCTTTGTGTTGGGTGCTGCGAGTTCGCCGTTGGTCTGCGCCGTTGTTGCTGTGCGGGATATTACAGCAAACAAACAAAAAACAAAAAGGGCCGGTCTAGGAAGCGAAGCGAAAGGCGAGAGAGAGCAAGAAGGATCCAAAGGAGATTCGTTGGTCTGGAAGAGTTGCAATGGTCGTTTAAGATGCTGATGCGAGAAGGAAGAGCGGTGTTGGTGGGAGGTGTTTGTATGTGTGCGAGACGAGAGAGTTGTGCGTGGGTGGGTGGGTTCAAAGAGGTAGGTAGGAGGCGTATGTAAAGAAGCAGGAGCTGGGAAGGAAGAGGGAGGTGTCGAAAGTGGACGGGCGGGAGAGGACTTGAATTCGGGGGATGACAGGCAGCGGGTTTTGTTGGTTGGGGCCCTGGGAGATGGGCACACCGCTGGCGAATGGGGTGCCGCAAACGGGGTGCCCACTTCCTTCGCCACCGCCGGGTTACTGGTCTAAGGCGTTGAGCGCTAAACTGCATTCGGGCCCAGGAACGTCCTAGGGGCGCCACGGAGCAATTTTTGGGTGTGTTTACGCATACGTAGTGCGTACCTGATGGGCTGCCGCACAGTGTAAGCAGCGCATGCAAGGACAGTGCCGCATCCACGCTGCAGGCTACCCTGGCCTGGGCCAAGCCAGAACCAGCTGGCTTCGTCCAGGAGGGACAAGACAGACGGAAACAGGGCAAGACAGTCAACAAACAGCTTCATGGGTAGGGACCGTCCTGTCAGCGTCCACTGACCTGTCCTCCGTCCAGCGCGGAACCAGTGCTCAAATTAGAAGACCCCCTCCTAAAAATTGATCCGTCTCCGAAGGCAATGGAAGTAAGCTTCTCTTGCCCATCCGGCCCCTCACTTTCCTGCAGGCTGTCGTTCAAAATAGTAGCATCGAACCTGTTCGCTTCCGTGCGTCGTGGTTGGGCAACGAACGTCCTTGGGGAACCATCCGAGCAGGTCAGGCAATAAGGTGGTGGTTGGAATGAAGCGCTCCCTCCCTACCTCTCACCAGCTCACTCGCCTGGCTCCCCACCAACAAGGCACTCCAGAGTATGATCAGGGGAGTACAAGCGTACGAGACTCGATGTTTGGCCAAGAACGGGGTCGCCCCCCCATGTGCGGCCAATCTCCTTGTCGCACATGACCCGAACGCATCTCCACCAGTACACATGAAGTAGTTGATCATGCACCCATTGTTTGACATTCCATCGCTCCTGCCACCAGGCGAGTCCGGCGCTTGCCCTGCGGTGATCTCTCGTTGTTCTGCAAAAGGCACGAACTCGCATCAGGCCAAGGGCGGTTTTCCCAGGAGTTCCGCGGTGGCCGATAGCGCAGAAAATAGTCCATGCGCTGAATCCGAGAAGCTGCTCGACCTCTGGCTCTGCTTGGCCCCCCAGGAATTATTCCACTGTCCGCTCTCACATTCCATAAGTCACACCGGTACCGTGAATCATTTGCCCATGTTTGATTTGTTGACTTTGTTGACTTTGTTGACTCTCACTGTGGCCGACCCCTGTTGTGGAGCATCGTGCAGAAAGAAACATACACTGTCCCATCTGTCGTTCAGGTGGTAGACTCCTGGGCCTTGGTAATCTCTTGGGTCATGCAATCCAATACATCGAGCAGGTACTTCGGGAGGTACCTGTGCGCCCGCGGGTTCTGCAGCGCTCCCCCCTCTACTCGAATTGGATTTGGAGGGTATTGGGTGGTTCACCACGCACTATGTGGTTCCCTGGCATCCATGCAGAAGGGCGAGCCACCAACAAGGCGCGTAAATTTTAGCCCGCCTCTCGCCAGTGGCTCAGTGGGTGGGCTGGGGTGAGAAGGAGGGCGGCTATCTACTGTGATTGGGCTCAGGGCAGGCCGCTGGGGGGGACCAGGCAAGCCCGGCCTGCATTGAGGTAGGCTGTGATCGCATTGCACTGTGGACGGGTGTGGTGTGGTGGTGTGAGCTATCACCCGCGAAGGTACCCAGGTCACCTGCCTGGTGGGACTCCGCACCGCCCGCTTACAAGCATATTTCTCAAGCGGTATTTCGCATCGGTATCGGGGCGTCCTCTCCTGAGGGGCAGGGCTCCCCGGATTGGCCGGTGGCTCTGCTGCTGGCCGATAGTCGAGGAAATATGGTCTTGGTGAGATGAATCAATTTGCCGCAGCGATAGTACGCGGTAAACAGGGCTTTGACTAACTACCCGCAGTAAAGGGTTGTGTCGTGCAGTCACTTCCCACCTTTCAGATCCCTGAGGGTTAGTAGCCTGCTGCCAGTACCGCACGACGGCCAGCCTTGATGAGTGTATGTAAGTCAATAATTAATGAATCAATGCATCTGGGATGCACCGGGAGTATTGCGGCAACTGTGCTTTGGAATGGAGAAGATTTGTGTCTACCTACCTAGGTATATATACATTTTTTTTTTGGTCTCCAACGTTCCTGCCCGAAAGCGCATCGAAGCATGTAAAGATGGAGCACCTAAAAAATGAAATCGCCCGTAAAAAGTGTAACTCACCAATGACCAACTGAGAGC